TTTTTCCCCCCCCCCCCCCCCGGCCCTTTTGTCTTTCTTTTTCCTTCTTCTCAGGTTGAAAGGAAACAAATACGTGTTTCTTCTTACTGAATGAAAGGAAAGAACAGAAAAGTGCCTATTGCCTACTAGGGAGCCCCATCAACTAAGCTTCATAAGGGTGTTTAAATCCATTCTCCCCAGATAGATTTCCATTAGGATAATTGCTACCCACTTAAAACTCCCTTCACAGTAGCCATTGTCTAAGTGGTATCCTGTGCTATCACCCAAAGGAAAAGGTTTATATTATGGTTACGTGCCCCATAAAGAAGAGCGGGGTTTAGAATAAACTGGCCACACAGACAAGCCTTATCTCTATTCAACAAGCAGGTCCTCGTGGATCTGTAGCATTCTGATCCAGACTGGCCAAGTGAACACACTGCATGATTAAAGCCAGAGTTTGGGGTGAGAAAATTCTTCAAGGATAAGAAATGCATTTTACTGGGCCTTGAGCAAAGACAGCTTTTCAGGAATAAGATCGTTTCAGGTACCCCCAGGAAGCATTTGTTTCTAATAGTCCTTATTCCCACTCCAGAACTGTAGATGCATTTGTACTATTTGTACTAGCATTTGAGGCCAGTGGTTGGCATAGCTCAGCTGAATTCTACAAATCCCACCTGGGAGGCAGTAGACTGCTAAAAGTAGAAAGTGCTCTGCCCTGTCAGCACACTAAGAGCTGGTCTGTAAAAAGTTTTCTCAGCTGAGATTTTCATGCTCCCCAGGAGGTAAAACAAGCTCCTATTGAATGATTTTGCCCCAAATGTAGGTAGGGAGAAAGGGCTGGAAGAGGAAAGACCAAATGTTGTCCTCAGCATAATCACCTATGACAGACCTATTTCACATTCTCTATATCACAAAGATCAAGGGCTGAATCCTCAGTGTCCCAAATCCCCACTGCATGCTCCTGTCCTGCTTCCAAGGCTGCCAGCTAATCTAGTGTAAATCTGTCTCTCTCCCATCACAGCTTTCTGCTCTCCACAAGCTGCTCCTCAGGCCAGGGGGAGTGCACGACTGAAACTTGATAGTGAGGACACCCACTGAGGGATCTGAAAGGGTAGGAAGGCAATTGCTGCTGAAATGATGGCTTATTTCTATGGAAATGAACAGCTCTAACAGGCCAGGCAAGGTGGGATCCACCACAGGACAGCAGGTAACCAAAGCACGGCCTGGGAAGACGCAGCCTAACTGAGACAGAGCAGGGCATGAGACCTTGGTCTCAAATCCTGAGTGAATGCCCGCCCCAGAAAAGTAGCTGGAGTTGGCACAGTGTCTGTTACTTCAGCTAGAAATTGCTTTCTGAGAAATCTCTCCTGAGAGAGTTTTAGCAACACTGGTATGGCTGGCCTCACACATTAAGATCTGGTTTCAACGACTGCTGCCAAAATTATGTTTTTTCAGAAAATTCCCAGTCAGTTCTAACTCCAGTGATCCTGAAGGAATGCTGAAAGACAATAGTGTGGGACTGGCAGAGATAAACCTGATACCAGCTGCAGGCTGCTAAGAAATATTGCTAAACTTGAGTGACAAGTAAATTGTTTGCAGTGTTAATGTGGTTAAACTCTTTTTCCACTGATGCAAACTAAAGCTGTAAATCAGGAATTTCTTCTTTTGCATTTAAATACTGCAGTGCTGTGCAAATGCATGAGATTCTGAACCTGAGGGCTTTGTTAGAGGAGTCCATGGCTGAGTAAACAGAAAAAAAGTAAGCTTAAGTGCAGAGATGAAGTAAAGGTTGTTTATGGAGATCACCGGTATGACATGTGCTTTGGTATGTATTGGTAAATATGAGTTTGTTTTTAAAGGACAGAAGGTAAAGAATGTCTGTAAAGGGCATCAGAAAGATACTCTATAAGCAGCAACAGGGCTAGCAAGCAAAAGTACTAGCTTTTTGTCTGTTCTTCACAGACATTTTGCTGTAGCAGAACTCCCTCTTGAGAATGAAAACCCCCATAAAATACAGCTGCAGCAACACATTTATAAAAGCAGCTATTCAGACAAATATGACTGAACTGAAACTTGACTTGCATTCAGCTTTTTCTTGAATAAATGAGTACCAAATTCCAGCATACTTACAGCCATAAATTACATTTTCAATTTAGTTGGGGTTATCTCATCTCACTTCTTTCAACTGTCAAGGTTTAAATACAGTACAAATGCATGACACACAAATATGTCCTACTTTTTCTCTGTGAAAGCTGCTCACAGACTGACTTCCTGACAATGAGTACCAGTCAGAATGTGGAAAACACTGCTTGTTTCATATTCACCACTGTTTAAAATAGTGACATTATCTAAGATAACAAATCATGTCAAGTCTAAGAAATAAGAAAATATAAATATGTACCTTTCTCAGTACAGCAGAAGCTGCTCCCTCCGATCTTTTCCTGTGCTGCTCTGATGTGGATTTTATAAAATAAGAGTCCAAGAGCCTGCAGTATTGTCACATTCGATCACATCACAGGAATAGCTTATCAGTTCTGTTACACAGACTCTAAAAGGAGCAGTGTCCTTTTCCCCAACTCCTCCTTTCACAGATTTCTGCACTCCTTAAAGGTGCTCAGTGCTCTAATAACCTTAGAGAAAGCTATTCATCTGTCCCCTAATGACAGTGTTCTTGTTACTTAGTTACAGCACAGTGAATGCTGACAAAGTCAGGTATGAGCCAAATCTGTGCTTAGTGTAAATGCACTGCGTTCAATCAAGCAACTCCGGGAATGAATTTGGCCCAAGGGATTTAGTTCTTTTTTCAGCTCCAACGTGGCATGCTACAGCCAGTGCAGAAGTTGTAGAAACAAGACCTAGGCATGTGAGTTAAATATAGAGTGCTGCTGGAGCGAGGAGAGGTATGTATAGCAAATTGCTTAACAGCAACTACAGAAGGAGGTGCAATCAATACATTATAAGTAGTACATCTGAATTTCTGTAGCTTCTGGTTGGAAAAATATTCTGCTACAAACGGCTCTAAGATAAAAGAAGAGGCTTATTCTTACAAACCTTGTTCTCAGCTTGACTGTCTATATTGTTTCCTTCGAGGTGGAAACAATATAATCAAGCTGCAATTAAATTGCACCATAAAAGAAAATAGTAAGAAAAACCAAAACCCAAACCAATGTGGTGGTAGTTCTCTGCTGTATTCTTACTACAAAACTCAGACCTAGTCAGTGAGTGTTTGAAGTTCTAGCCTAGAAACTTTTTAAAGATTCAAAGAAACGGTTTGTATCAAATGTGGCAGAAACAGGAGCTGAAGAACTGAAAACAGGCTTTGTCACATGGCGGGGGGGCGCATCCTTGAAAGAATTAGGGACTACCTGAGAGCATGACAAGAGAAGAATAAAAAATTTTAAGTGGATGAGTTGAATAAAGAATTGTGGGAAAAAGAGGTAGGTGAAGATCAAAGTGGTTTTAGTAATTCTAAACAAAACATAACTAAGACCCTGCAATATAGCACAGTACCCAATGTCAATATAGAACAACTTTGAAGTATCCCTTCCATGTATAACAGAGCTTTAGCTCAACAAATATTTTCTTATAATCCAGACATCAAGCAGAACGAAGAACGAAATAAGCAATACCGCACTCCAGCTTTACTGACAGTAATTTCCTGTCTGGTCGAAAGCTGGCTGTGAAACCATGACAGGTTGTGTCTGCACGATCCCTGATGCCACCCACAGTTAAAATTAACTGATAATTTCTTCTACTGCTGGGCTGTAGAGAAAAGAGCTTAAAACAGTAAAACTTATTGTATGCACTGACCTGGTTCTGTAAGCATACAGCTATTCTTTGGAGACGTCCTTGCAGTTAACTATAGCTAGTTGTGAACTGGTGGGTGGTATCAGCCCAGCTTCTACTTAGCAGCATAAATTAGTGCCTAGACTTACCAGATTGAGCAGTGTTCCATGACAACACTTCTAAAGGACTTCTAACTTTGAGCTGAATCATATTCTTCAGGCTAGAAGCATGGGAGGAGCAAACTTGCTTCTGCCTGCCCACAACTGTTTACTTGTATGATAAAGGCTTTGCCTGCAAATTAATCCTTTCTGTTGTCTAGATATTTCAGTACATAAGTAAAAATGGTGAATGGCAATAACTGCCAACTAGATAAAGTCAGAGGTTCAGTTAGTTAAACCACCCAAACTGTCCATAAGTTACTTCCAAGTTAATAGAAAGTTGAAATCTTGTAATACGTTATTATGGGATAATTTTTTCTCCAAGAGAAGTTTCTTTTGTAGGCTGTTAGACATTGGCTTATGCCTTTCTTTAATTTACCTTTTTGCCCAAGATAGGGTCTATATAGGTATGGTAAGTTTTTACTAACGTAATAACAAGGCAACAAACTCCAGAGTGCCTAACTTTATACACTATTCACATGACTTACCCTTGCCTAGAGAGTAAAAATTTACTCTGATATGAATACATCTGGGTTAGACAACTGTGGAGAGCTATGAATGTATTGTTGTAATACAATTTTTATGTAGGGACAAGATCTTAAAAGATGGATTTGCTGTTGCAGAACATCAGGATACTGCATTCACAGGGCACATATATGGAAAGATGTAGACCCAGGATGTCTTAGCTTGGGAGCAACATCACATGAATGGCAACAGGTCAGAATAACTGGCTAGTTCAGACTGACTCACGCTGACAGTTGACAGAGTTAAGCTCACATCTGTCTGCACAAACTTGAGCAGACTTGCTCATATAGAGAGCTCCCAGTCTCAAATGGAGGCTATACAGCTGCAATCACATGATGCAACGTAGCAGTGCTATCCCCACTTGCTGTGCATAGCACAGAGCTGAAGCTTTCCCAGTAAATCCATGCCTGGCATAACAACAAATGACATTCCCTTCTTCTAATAATCCTGGCCAAAGACTGGTTTTTAAAAGCCTAAACAAAGGGAAACAGGAGAGCTAGCACATTATCATAAACCCCACACATCACGTGAAACACTGAGTAGAAGAAAATTCTTTTGAGCTTGCGTTTTCAGAACAGCAGGAGGGATTTTCTTCTATGTGAATTTGCTGTTTTCAACAGTCAAATTAGCTTCTCTTGCTGAGAAACATGCAAAAGAGGAATTTTGAGAAAGGAAGCACCACTCATATGAATCAGGAAGCTGCCTGGAGATACCTAAAATAGGAAACAGCTAAAAGAGAAGAAAGATGGCCAGCAAAGTTGTACTCTAAAACTTAACAGATTATACAAGCAGTTAGACTATTTTGTATTTACTATGCATCTTAAAAGGTTATCTTGTAGACTGAAAAAAACTTCCTGCTTTCAAAGACTTTATAACTCCTCATGAAAACTTTGAAGCTCAGTTAAGTCTACCATATTTCTGTCTTTTCTCCCCTTGCTTTTTTGGTAATATATGTTGAAGCATTTAAATAAAGTCAAGAACCTGTGTTACTTCAAGCTTCATCTGTTTCTGCTGGTTTTTTCCCTCCCTTGCAATCAATTAGTTGTTTAGGACAAACTATGAACAGAAGATTCTATGTTAAGGAAGGAATAAAATGGCATAGATTAAATTCTGAACAACAACGAGTCCTATTCTCAGACAAATTTCTCAAAAATAAAAAAAAAGCAAAAAGGCAGAAATAGCAACAAAGCTGAAATGTTAAACCATTTTTGTTGGTTTATAAACCTATGTACGAATGTTTCCAGTAGAGGAAACACTGTTAGCTGAAGGATGTATTCTTTGTAACAAGATGTCCTTTTGGTGCACTTACTTAGCAAATATTAGACTGGTTGGTTTTCTTCTAGAATTACATTTTTAAATGGCATTTAAATAATGACCTGATTTAGAGTAATTCTGTGATGTGTGTACTTGTCTTAGCTTTCTCAGTGTAGCTGGTTTAGATACATTTACAGACCCTACATAAAAAATTATTAGCTAGTGGGATATATTTGTCCCATCTTAACAAAATGTTGTAAACTTTGTAGACTTCACACGGAAATCTGATCACCACCTCGATCTCATAAACCAAAATTAGTCATTTTCTTCCCTTATCAGTTTGACTTTTAACTCTCTTAAAGATTGATTTGTCAAAGCTTTTAAAAGCAGATATCAAAAATGCAGAAAAGTACAGCAGAGTTGGATTGTAAGCAAACAGCCACAGATTCCTTCATGCCAATGTAAAGCATGAACCCAACAAAAAGTAATATTGGAAAATTCTTGCTACACGAGTCAGTTAAGAAGCCTCAAATAAAAGTGGTAGAAATACTTCGTTTACCCAGAATCTGTGTCCTCGAACAAGGGTCCTCACTTGTCAGCATAACCCCCATGTTAGAATACTATCCATATATTTAGCAATTTGAATCATGACAGGTTTTACCTTGCTTTGAAAAAAGTCTAAGGACTGGTAACCACCCCTCCCTTGCTACCATTTATTCTGTCCTTTTTGTAGCTCTGGGATATGGTTCTCCCAATTGCCAGGGACTACGTCATTGTTTCCACTTTTGTATTCACCATTTGACATGCCTTTCTTCCACATGCTTTTTCTTTCCCTCCTCCTTCCTCCTTAATGCTAAGGACACCATGCTATTCACTAGCAGAGGAACAACAAGGAAAAAAACAAAAGAGTACAATCAATCACAAGAGAGATGGTAAGAAACCAAAAAGTCCTACCTCGTGCAGAGACCTCTTAGTTCAACCAGTGTTCCAGTACAGTTCACTGACACTTCTGTAAACTATTAATTAGGTCATGCCACAAAATGCAACCTCTATGTAATCCATTTCCCACCCCACCCACTAAAAAAGAAACAATGTGATGACTTCCAAAGATGGTATCTACCTGACACCTCTCTTCTTTCCCCCGCCCCACCAGGTCGCTAATCTGGGAACACAAGACATAAAGCAAACCATGCCAGAAAACCAGGAAAGACAAGAAGATGTGCTCGAGAAGTCAACATTTCTAAAATGTTAGGTGGAAGAGGTATTTGGTCCTGGTTGTCTTCATGAGGAAGAATTTAACTAAGCCATTGATAAATGTAACAAAAGGTATTTCATATGAAGGAAAAAAAGTACATCATTCCAAGCTGTCCTTACAATAAATTCAAAAGGCAAAAGTCTGCCCATTAACAGAACCAATTCATGCCTTACAAAACCACTATTTTTGTTGAATGGATTTATATACATTTCTGAAACATATTACAGTGGTGTTTCCTTTGCCCTTTTAATACCACACTGTTTACAGTACACTGAATAAACATCTCCCCCTGGAAATAAACCAAACCACATCTAATGTATTAAGTTAATTTATGACTTTAAATATGACTGGCTGCAACTGACTAAAATCTGTGGAAATATGATGTTAAGTCTGATAGCTATCTTGTAAGCATTTGTTTTTAATCCCAAGTTTTGAAAGAAATATGCTTTCGCTGTGGAAACACAATGCTTCATGTATAGATGTAAAAAATGTATAGCACTAATTATTCTGATCAGCTTAATGCCAACCACAAAAGAATTAAAATGAGAGAGTAGAAAGCTATAGGAGATGAGTCAAAGACACATTAGAAACCACACCTGATAACCAGAATCCATCTCTGGTTCCCGATAAAGATTTTTGAAGTGTATCACAGACACACCTGCTCAGTGCTGACTGCAGCAAATACCAGTGGCTACTCCTCTTTTTGATATCGTGACCATGGGCAAAACCCACCCCTCATTGCTGATATTTGCCTCTATTGGTCTCAATGATCAAGCTTGTAAGAATGTGCAAGAACGAGCAGAGTGGCATTACACAGACTTTGTACTTTCTTCTGAAGATG